TTTTCATTTCCGCATTGCGATTTTCATGTTGGGATTTTCATTTCGCGTTGCGATTGTATTTTCCGTGTTGCGATAGTCAAATGCATGCCTAATAGTGATAACAACTGAATAACAAGAGTTGGTTAAGTCAAAATGGTTGGCCTGAGTCATTAATTCAACTGAAAATGTTAAAAGTTCACACATAAAATCCACATAATACAACGTTTGCATATGAGCTTTTGATGGCAACGTTTACATAATACACATAAAATGTTAAATGTTAAAACGTTTACATAATACAACTGAATAACAACGTTTACATAATACAAAGTTCACACCATATGAGCTTTGGATTTTGATGAGGATCCATATTTTGGTAGAGGAAAAGATGATTTTGATGGCACTGGTGATCCACATGTCAACCTTGTATGACCACTTTCCTTGCACCGACTACATGTCGATCTCTTCTTCTCTTCACCCTTAGACGGTATACGATCGTGACTTTTTGGTCGGCCAGGTAGCCTTCTGTCCATGGCTGGTGGCAAAACTGTTTGTAAGTCATCTGGTATGTCCCACTCAGAAGGATGTGGAATAGGGTAGACAATCTCGGCATAAGTCTGTCGATAAACTTCTGTAGTGTAGCAATCCATAGCGTATGCGCTTGAATCATCTTGGTTTAAATGAAGAGCAACTTTTATAACATGGCCACACGGATAACCAGATGTTTGCCATTTCATACAACTACACGTCTTTGCATTTAGATCGACTAGCCCATTTAAGTTATTATCCAGTACTTGAAACAAAGTGTTTGAACATGGTTCAACTCTCCATGACGTTGACTTCACAACACGTTTCGTTATCTTTTTTCAGTCCATGGTGTAACACGATGTTCCAATGTTCCTGTAAATTTAAATAAACAATACTTAGTAAAATATATAAATATGATAAGTTACGAATTCAAAGAAATAATACCTGCATGGTTTCTTTTCTTGTAGTACCACTGTTGAATAGAGGCTCGAAAAAACTCCATTAACATAGTAATGGGTAATTTCCGGGAATGACGACTTAGAGCGTTGATTGATTCTGCACTATTAGACGTCATGAAACCATATCTTGCTCCAAGTTGATGTACTCTTGACCATCTTTCAAACCCGACATCTTCTAGTGTTTGAGCACACTGAGGCAAAACACGTCTTAAACAATTTATATGCTTATTGAAATCCACTTCCCGATAAGCTTTTACAGCCTTCCAGTATGTCCATTTGTGCTTTTTTATACCAGCAGACCTTGATTTTAGATTTCTATACAAATGAACACCACAAAGTCCATGAAAAGCATCTGGGAAACACCTTCTAACAGCGTTGTCAATTGAGTTTGCCCTATCGGATATGATTGTCAGATTGCTAATAGGACCTATGCAATCCCTAAGATGCCCCATAAACCATGTCCATGAATCAGAGGTTTCAGATTTGCCAACCCCGTAAGCTATTGGCAATATCCCATTGTTAGCATCCATGGCTACTGCTAATAAGTTTACTCCAAGGTATCGACCTTTCAAATGTGCTCCGTCAACTATAATAACTGGGCGCATGCAAGTAATAAACGAACGAATCTACAAAATAATATACACAAGAAATATAATCATTTAAATGTGAAATGCATGTAACTAACAAAAATGAGTCAACAAAATTATATTGATTTACTAACCGTAGCACCAATGGCGATAAACAGCAACTCAAAGCGTCCATCTCTATCTGTTTTGATATGAGTTACCGACCCAGGATTTTTCAGCTTTAAATTGTGACAATAAGCCGGCAGTTGGGCAAACGATGCTTCTGGCGACCCCCTCAACAATTCCAAGGCATAACATTTGGCTCTCCAAGCTTGAGAATATGATATACTAATCTTGAACCGAGCATTCATGTCAGTCATAATTTCATGTCCCCGATATACCCTGCCATTCAAAAACATTAACTCAGCCAGAAAACCACCCAACACCTTTTTGTTTGCCTGTCTATGGTGAGGAAAAACTTGGGTTCTTGAACATGTATGTTTATCAATAAAAGTCCTAACTTGAAACATTTTGCAATCTTTTATTCTCTTTGCAATCATACGCCACGTACAGTTTTTGTCAATCATACACCTTGTTTCGAAACGATCTTTGCTTGATTTGTTAACTTTTAGTTGATAGCCATCTTCCACACATTTCGTATATAAAGCTATCTTCAAGTCTTCCTTTGTATCAAAACAATCATCTTTCTTGATACGAATAACTTTTGTGTAACAATCAACTGCTTTCTTTATCAACTCTTCTTCCGGTATCTGTAGTAATTCTGGCATATTCCAGTTATACGCCCGTGGCATTTTCTTTTCTTCGGGGACTTTTTCTTCTTCTTTTTCTTCTTCAGGATTATATGAATTACAGAATGGATGTTCAACATGTTCATTCACAGTCGTAACTTCCTCCTCATTATCATCAACATTACATTCTTCGGCAACGGCTGTTTCATCATCAAAATTCGGGTATTGACCAATATCAATATCATTACACGCATGGTCTGTTTCTTCTTCTGAAACATCATCAAAATCCGTGTATTGACCAATATCAAAGTCCGGATATTGACCAAGACCAAATTTCGAATACTGACTAGTACTCACAATTTTTTCTGTTGGCTCATCATCGTCTAACTGGTCAATACGAAAACCGGAATTTGGTGCTGAAAGTTGATTGGGATTTGGATTAGAGAAAGGTTGTGGGTTTTGAGAAAAACTTAGTTGATTACTACCCGCTACTGACCCAACAATACTACTTCTAGGTTCAACAACATACAATGTAACATCATCTTGTGAAACACTAATGTAAGCAATGAATCGTTCAACATCTTCATTGTCGGTTAACAAATAAACTTTACCATTTCTCTGATAAGATAGCCTAAATCCACTTAGGGGCTCTAAATTCAATTTATTTGAAACACGTAGCATTAGAGTTTCATAAGTTAACTTTTGTAAAGACAATTTTAGTTGAAGATTTATGGGTAAAGGCATATATTGTAAAACACCATTAACATTATCCCATGACCCTCCAAAACACAAATCTATCCAAACATGATCAACATTAGATGATTTCATGGTTGTAACTAAACAAACGAGATGCGAAACTAAGACCTGTTGCCGGATGGGGAAGGATGTCGTTGGATATAGGAACGGATGTCGCCGGAGAGAGTGATAGATGGAGATGGAATGAGTTGCGATTTAGGGATTTAGTTTATGATTTCAGTGTTATATACCCAAAATTTCAGTGTTGTGATTTACAGATTCTCGTTGCGATTTACGGATTATCGTTGCGATTTACAGATTCTCGTTGCGATTTACGGATTATCGTTGCGATTTACGGATACGCGTTGCGATTTACGGATTATCGTTGCGATTTACGGATACGCGTTGCGATTTACGGATACGCATTGCGATTTACGGATACGCGTTGCGATTTACGGATACACGTTGCGGTTTACGGATACGCGTTGCGATTTACGGATACGCGTTGCGATATACGGATACGCATTGCGATTTACCCATACGCGTTGCGATTTACGGATACACGTTGCGATTTACGGATACGCGTTGCGATTTATGTGTTCGCGTTGCGATTTTCATATTCGCGTTGCGATTATGGAAAATCGCAATGCGAATTTGTACTATCGCATCGCGATTTTCAAGAATCGCGTTGCGATTCTGGAAACTGATTTGCGATTCTGGGGATCGCGTTGCGATTTTTATTTCGCGTTGCGATTTTGTTGGTCATTTTGGCAAATCCAAAAAAAGTTGGTTAAAATCGTATATTATAACTTTTTTTTGGTCACTGAGGCGATTTTCTCTTCATAAATAGAATTAAATGTATGATGTTAATTATTTAGAGTTTAAATTTTAGAATTTAAAATTATAATAAAATGTTATAAAGGGGGAAAATTCTTAAAAAGCCCAAAAAAACTGACAAATTAACTGAGAAAACCCTTATCTTTTTAATTGTTTTTTCAGCCCGACTGTTTCTTGGTTGTTCATTCAGTTAAAACCGAATCGAACCGAACTGAATTAACTATAATCGAATTAATCGAAATTTTTTTTTAACCGTTAACCGAACTGAACTTTTTTTCAAAAATATTAACCGAACCGAATAAAATTCGATTAATTTTTTAATTAACCGAATTTTTTTAATTTATATAAAAATTAAATGTTTTTTAATTAAAAAAAGTTTATAATTAATTTAAATAATATATAAATTATAAAATAAAAATTTCAGATAAATTTTTTAATTAATTAATATTGATTTAGGTTTAAAAGTTATTGGATCTTAAATTATTAATTGGGTTTTAAATGGTTTGGACTTAGCCCATATGTTATATATAATATATTTCATATTTTTTAATTCAAAAAAACAGTTTACAATTAATTTAAATAATATATAATTATAAAATAAAAATTTTATATAATTTTTTAATTAATTAATATTGATTTAGATTTAAAAATTATTGAATATTAAATTATTAATTAGATTTTAAATAGTTTGGACTAAGCTCATATGTTATATATAATATATTTAATATTTAAAATTTAATTTCGGTTAATTCAGTTAATTAATCGAATTCGAACCGAATTAACCATTAATCGAATTTTAAAAATTTTCTTAACCGTTAATTGACCGAACTAATTCGATAACCAAATCAAATTAACCAAACTAATTCAATTCAATCGATTAACCGAATTAATTCGATTATTTAAACACCCTAGTTCCTTGAGTTTCTATCCTTCTCACCACAACAGTGATAAAAGTAACAAAAACATCAAACAACTACTTTGAGTTAACATGAATATGATTCCTATTTTGACCCATCCTTTTTCTTTCCCTCCCCATTAACTTTAATTTATTTGTTTCCAATAATCAACATACATATATTTACTATTTCTCTCTCTCTCTCTCTCTCTCTCTCTCTCTCTCTCTCTCTCTCTCTAAGTTTGTCATTTTCTTCCTTGAAACTAAAAACAACCCAATGGCAACACAGCCGCAACCGGCAGCAGCTTCCTTTACTTGTTTCTTCTCATTGTTCTTCTCATCCTCCTCCTTTGTACCTTAAAACAGTATTTGTTTAGCTTCTTCTCAAATGTCTAAGCCCACATTATTCTTGTCCCTGTGATCTCTTTGGATCAGTATCTTATATACCCTTTATCACTATTGCACTCAGGTACATTTATCAGCCTTCTTTTGTCTCTGAATCTGTAGATTTCCCTTTCTTCTTCTTCCTTCACATTTCTTCATAAAAGGCTGCATTTCCCTTTTCAAAGTTCTTTGCTTTCTTGATGATGAACTGCGATTGTTTTAATTTTTTTTCTGTGCTTTTTGGAGGAAGATTACTTATAATGTGCATTTTCTCTGTATTTGTTATTGATTTTTGTTGGTTCATTCCTATTTTATGTGAAGCTTTTGTGGTACCTAAATTACACATCTGCTTCACTCAGATACTTTCTTCCTACTGTTTCACTGTCAATAAAGCTTAATACAAGTGAAAATGGCTTCTGTGCTTAGTTATCAATTCAGGGTTTGGGTTAAACTTAGTAATTTAACTTGATAATGTACAAAACAAAGTTCCCCCCCAGATCCTGACATGAAATTGATGTATTTGAAGCTTTTTAACATTGTTGTTTGGAGAATTTTTTTAATCATTGTTTAGATTTGCCCTTTTTAGACCCTTATGCAATGAATTGTAGTACATTGAAGTTTGATTCTTTCAATGTTGTTTTTTTTTCCTTATAGCTTACAGAAACTCTTCGTTCTCAAATTTAACATCTTGGCAAATTGAACATGTTCCTTTTGCTGAAAATTACTGTATATTCGACTGCATCTCTAGCTTTTGTGAAGGATTCATGAACATCGAATGCCTTGACTCGATTTTCTTTCGTGCAATACAGTAAAGGAATTCAAGTACTTTTCTTAAACATGGAGCAATATGAAGTATTGGAGCAAATTGGGAAGGGAGCTTTCGGTTCAGCTCTTCTAGTGAGGCATAAGCATGAAAAGAAGAAGTAGATTGCTAGGACGGACTTGTACCGGCCAAGTCCGTCCTCTGCTTATATTTAACTTTATTTCATGTGAAATCTTAGTAGAAGAACAATTAGAAATGGTTATTATTTGAGTCATCTTTTGGCAATTGATTTACCCTTTCATCTTTGGGGTTGCGAATAAGGTATGTGCTGAAAAAGATACGTCTCGCCCGCCAGACTGATAGATCACGAAGATCTGCTCATCAGGAGGTTCGTATGGTTTATTCATACATCTTTGCTATTCCTTTTGTATTTCATCGAGTCAAACATTCGCTAGAAAAGAAGAGATTGATTCCGATTGCTTTATATTCAACTATAATCTTAGCTATTTTTTTTATATATGGAACAATGTTGATGTTTGGCTGGACCAAGACTAGAGTTGTCCAAAATTGCTGCCTTACAGTTAGTTTATCGGTATGAACTCGGTTTAGTTCGATCAAATAGACTAATCTTTCAATTTGTTCGTGTAGATGGAGCTCATTTCTAAAATCCGCAATCCATTTATTGTGGAGTACAAAGATTCCTGGGTGGAAAAGGTATGCTTGCTAGTTCCCTTTAATAGCTACTGTGCTGGATAGGCCTCGATTCTCGTCCTTTTTTACACTATTTGCGGATACGTCGCCATTATATGTCATAATTGTCATGACATTAATATCGGAACCTTCCCGGTGATCAACAGCCTAACATGGGTTCACATATGTCCTTGTTACCGGGGTTGCTATGTCTGCATTATCATAAGTTATTGTGAAGGCAGAGACATGTAAGTTTCATTTCTTTGCTGATGCTGGTATCTGTGAGATAGTGCATTTATATTTGTAACTTGAAGAACCTTGCACGAATTTGGCGAATGGTAATAAGATTTTTTGTATAAAACAGGGCTGAAGCCATAAAGAAAGCGAATGGCATGCTTTTCCCCGAAGCGGTTTGTTTATTCCCATGCTTTTAACTTCAGTTCATTTTTTACTGCATTCCTATTCCCTTGTTTTGGACTGTTCATCGAAGAAACGTAACTCCGATCTTCCGAGCATGTTCAGAAACTGTGCAAGTGGCTTGTTCATCTCCTGATGGCTCTCGACTATCTGCACTTGAATCACATTCTTCATCGTGACGTCAAGGTTAGCGACATGCTGTTCCGCTCTTGCTGACAGTGTTACCACCTTCCAAAGTGCCTGAAGTAGCTTTTGTTAATAGTGGCTTATTTTATTTTTCTTTTCAGTGTTCAAATATCTTTCTGACAAAAGATCAAGACATACGTCTTGGCGATTTCGGACTTGCTAAAATTTCGGCTTCAGATGATCTTGCATCCTCTGTAAGTACCGTACTAACCTTCAAGAATTCATGCATCATCACCCGAATTTATTGATTGTAATTAGGGAGAATACTTTATATGCTTTTTTCAGGTTGTCGGAACTCCGAGCTATATGTGCCCCGAGTTTCTGGCTGATATACCTTACGGTTCTAAGTCTGATATCTGGTCATTAGGTAAGCATGTGCACGTAGTGGAAAATGCTTGTTTTTATCAGTCAATCTCGATAATTTCTCTCTATGTGTTTATATGACTTAATATATGTTTTCCAGGGTGCTGTATATATGAAATGACTTCTCTCAAGCCTGCATTTAAAGCATTTGTGAGTTCCTTTTACCCTTTATTAGACAGCCTTTCGTAAGCAGGTGTATCGATTGTAATGTATCGAGCTGTTGTTTGTTTAGATCTTGTAAATTTTTCTTGTGCTATTCGGATGTTTTATTCTATTTGTAGTGACCGAACTGTAACTCATTTGTGTTGGTGAATATGAAAATGCAATCGCTTCCGTCTAATGAGTGTACTTTGTTAGAAATAATTGATGCTTTGACATTCAGAGGCATTACTGCATTTCGAAACTCTGTTTAATGTTTAGCGAATCATTCTCGTTACATGTTTTGTTTTCTCTTTCGAGCTTTCGAGTAATCTTTAATCTCATGAGCAGGGTATGCAGGCGCTGATAAACAAGATTAACAGATCTATAGTCTCTCCACTTCCTACAAAATATTCCAGTGCCTTGTAAGCCTCATTTACAAGCATTTCGGTTTTCTACTGAAGAGTCATGTTGGTCTGATTATTGCATCAATTTCTTTTCAGCCGCGGCCTTGTGAAAAGCATGTTGCGCAAAAATCCTAAACTTAGGCCAAGTGTATGTATTGGCTCTCCTCTATTCTGTCTAACAATATATGCAGAGCATATTTACGAGTCTGAATGCAGTTCGATCTGTAAATGGTTTCAGAATGTTTTTTATGATCTTTCTCATCCAAGGTATCTACCGATTTTGACAGGCCGAGGAACTGCTCAGGCATCCACACCTTCAGCCTTATGTTGTTAAAGTTCATCATAAAATTAATAATCGTAGAAGGAATACTTTACCTGTGCTTCGGCCTGAAACCAATATAAAGAAAACTAGATTTTCGGACCCCATAGATACCCTCTTCTCCATTTACAAGGAGAGGCATCGATCCAACGACAGGACTTTAAATCCAAGCATATCAGGAGCCGAGCAAGATTCTGTCTGCTCTACCAAAGGAATACATCATGATACAAATGGTATACTGAATAGAAGGTTAGAAGATTTGTCTATTGATAGCAGCCAAGAAGGAACTGTTATTTGCAAGCTGATTACTTCGAAACTTTCAAGTGTCACCAAGGGTCCGAAATGTTCTTTGACAAAAGCTTCTGCAACTCCCAAGAGAGAGAAAGAGCTTTTGAGAAACCTTGACTCGGTAAATTCTATGGAGTTCCCGCCTCGCAAAACACATTTATAGAGATTCTTAGCTATAACATTTTTCTTGTTTCGAAATCTGGGTTTTTAGCTTTAGTTGCATTGTGTTTACCGTTTCAGGTTTCGCGCACTCCAGTTAAGAAACCTCTCCCCTCAACTCGAAGAGCTTCCTTGCCTCTGCCGACAAGAACTACGGTTCAAGAACCTCCTTGTAGATCTAATGCTGGTATTCTTCACCACATACAATCATCGGATGTCTCCGTCAAAGCTCCTCGAATTGATAAGATAGCTGAATTCCCGTTAGCCTCATATGAAGATGCATTCTTCCCCATCAACAAAACTTCTCCAAAATCTGAACGGGGCTTCTCTAGCACGCCACAATTTGTCAACCATTCAATCACGAAAGACAAATGTACAGTTCATAAATGCGATCAATTGTCTAGCAAGCCAAATTTCGCTGATGCATGACAGGGAATTCAACACAGCTCGTTCCATGCAGATGGAGATGATGTAAGTGTTTCCTCGGATCAAAATGCAATTGCCGGGGCATCTTGCCGCACCTCATCAGACATGTCGGAACCGTCTTTCGGTTGGGCCCGGAATTGGGCTTCGACTTGAGTGATTGGGTTGGGAGTCGCCACCGACCATTTTAAAATGAATTTAGGTGGGTCGGATACCATCTTACCTGATCTGCGTTGTACCAGAAACGTGTCGGGTTCGGGAGTCGATTACGGTCAAGGAAGGGTTAGCACCCTTAAACCGCCCTTTCGGTACCAATTAATTTGTCGGTTGTCTTAGTTGCGAAAATTTAAAATTTAAATTTAAATTTAAAAACTCGATGCAAATCACTTACCTTTGATCAATTGGAATTTCTGAAACAAATGAGTCGAAGATGTTAGAAACAAAAAATAACAAATAAGTAATGAATTAGGAAGAATAAAATAATAAATAAATAAATGAATATGAATCAAATGGCAAGAATTTTTAAAAATACTAAAGTCAAAATAAATAAAAGAATAAAAAAGATAAAAGGTGAAGAAAACGAGATAGGGAAAAATAAAAATAAAAAAGAATATTAAAAAATAATAATTAGAACGAATATTAAAAACGTTAACTTTTAAAAGTAAATAAAATAAGAGGAAAAAGTGAAAAGTGTAATATGGGAAAGAAATAATAATAAAAAAATAATAAAAAGAAATGGGTTAAATTTTGAAATTAGAAAATGTTAGAAAAACAAAATAAGGTAAATAAATAAAAGGATCAGAATGAATTAAATTAGACTTTGTGCACTGAAATTGATACTAAAACCAAACTGTAAAAAAACAAAATTAGAGGGTTAATTCACAAAATATAAAAAGTGTAGAAGGTGACCAATTTGAATGAATTGAGAATCCAGAGACGAAATTACAAGTGATGGCCAGATTGAAATGCGATTTAAACTACCAGGGACTGCGGAGAGAATTAAAGAATCTTCTATTTGCATAATGGTCCCTGCTATATATATACATAACCAAGCTTATTTTCGTTCATTTTCTTCACTCTCAACAATCTCATCTCTCTCAAACGAGAGAGCTCCCGGTTCCCTCCCCAGCCGAATGCTGGCCACCACAGCCGTCGCCAGAAATCGCTTCGGCTGCCATAACCGGCGGCCGGACAAACTCGAAACTTACACAAAACGCTCCTCTCAACGCCCCTAAACCAAAATCGAGCCCTATATCCCCTAGAAGCGCCTCCTCCGACGTAGATCTAGGAAACTAACTCCGGGTTCTTTACCTTTTTCACGAGACCGTTCGTTTCCCGACGACCGTTCACCTCCCCGATTTGCTCTTTTGTACGGTTGGCTTTGTTTTTGGCACTGCTTTGTTCTTTGTGGCTCGTTGTTTATGTGGGTTTTGTGTTGGTATGGTCGTGTGGTTTGTTTTTTTGTGGTTCAATGTTTGTATTGTTGTGATATTTCTGTGTTTGGTGTGGGTTTATTGGTTCTCGGTGATCACTGTTGTGGTCTTTTTCGTGATGTTGTGGCCTCCCCTCTCTGATGGCCGTGGTGGGATATTTATACCCACCCCACCGGGGGTCTGCTCCGATGATAACGGTAACGTGCTCGTGGTTAGTTGGCCGGGGATTTCGGGATGGGTCAGTCTCGATCTCCTCGGCCGGAAATCTCGGTGGCCGGTGTGAATGACCCTTGACCTCCTTGGCTTACGCGGCGCCTGTTTGAACATACGTTGGAACCCTAATCTGAGCTCTGGGCTGGGTCAGGCCCAACTTAGCTCATTTGGACCCCAAAATAGACCTAGACAATTAAAATGAAAATAAAATTAATAAAAATAAATAAATAAAAATAAATAAATAAAAGTGTATTTAAAAATGCTATAAGTATAGGATAAGTATTTAAAAGCTTTCAGTGACATCTTATTTCTTAGGTTATTGGTTCATTTTTTTATTAGGAGTAAAATTTTATTTCCTCCTTTTCTTTAGTATAGTATTGATATTAATTGATGAGATAAATATTAAAAGTGTATATGAATTTAGTTCAAATATGTTATATAGTACATAAATTATAATAATATACAATTATATATAATAAACTCCAATATTAATTTTATTTGTACACATAAAGTTTTGATTTCTATTCAATTGTATATATTTTAAAAAGTAGTTTATATGTTTTCTATATTAGATAAATAAAATTATTTTTTGCATACAATGTATGAACATAAAAATATTACATTCATAACTGTATTAATACTTTTAATCAATATAATAATATTAATAATTTATGAAATTAAATTGGGATTTTATGTATATAATTGTATAAACTTCAAATCATGTATCATTTTATATATTTAACCGAAGCTCATCTATAATTTTGATATTTATCCCTATCAAATATTAAGATAATGTTTATTTAAAGTATAAAATTATTGTAAATTATCTTAAGTTTTATACTTTGCTAAAGTCTTGAAATATATTTACTTCTATTTATGGTGATTTTGTCACTACATCAAACATTTCAAGTAAAATAATGTTGTATCTTTAAAGAAGATTGTTAGGGAATTATTGTAATATAAATTTTAGGGTAAATTATAGTAATGGTACTAAACTTTTCTAAAACTTTCATTTAGGTCCGCAAGCTTTTAAAACTTTCAATACAGTCCACCAACATTTAGTCCGTTTGCAATATGGTCCCCCAACAGTTACGTCAGGGACCATATTGCAAATGGACTAAATGTTGAGGGACCATATTGCAAATAGACTAAATATTGGAGGATTGTATTGTAAGTTTTAAAAGTTGAGGGACCTAAATAAAAGCTTAAGAAAAGTTCAGTGACCATTACTATACTTTACCCTAAAATAAAAACGATGCAGAAAGGAAATTCGGAATCTTTTCAGCCAAGAAAATGAGGTTTTGTTCACTTGTTGCTGGAATTTTCAGAAAGATAACAGATAATATTAAAAGCAATATTAAACCCCAATATACAGATAACGTTAAAAACATAATCAAGAAAACTTATAAAAAGAGAAAATTAAAACATTTTTATTAATTTGGATAATTACAAGACAGTCCGGTGTTAGAACACAAGACCTCAATGAATAATTATAATTCTTTTACTATCGAGACCTCTTGGTTCGTATAGAAAAATAAAACATAAAAAAACTAAATGAGTATGAAAAAACAAAAAAAATTAAAAGTAATATCTTTCCTTAAATCCTTCCATCAGCTTCCATTGAAGGTCTTAAAACATTAAGACTGTCATCAGAGATAATTTATGAAAAACGTAATAAAATAAATTTTAGAAGTAAATATCACAAAAAATAGGTCTTTATCCGCTTATATTTTTAAAGCCTTTCGTTGGAAACTTTTAATTGATTAATTTCAAATGTATTTAAAAAATAAATTAAAAAAGAGTTGAATTTTGAAATTCAATATTTCGAATTTCGCAAATGTAGATTACGACGACAAAACAGCGGCAGTGACATTACGTTTTCTGACTGTCTTTTTAAGGGACCCACCGCATGATCCGATTCTCTATAGAAAATTAAAAAAGAGTAAATTACAAATTTCATCATTAAACTTTACTCTATCTTATTTACCCACTAATTTTTAAAAGTTTTCAATTTCTCACTAAACTTAATACATTAGATTTTTTTGTTCACTTAACTTTGCTCTCTCTCCTTCTTTAGTCACTCCACCGTTAAATAGTTAACGGCGTTAAAAATGATACCGTTTTAAAAAAACAAAATTTTCACCAAAACAACACCGTTAAATAGCACATTTTAACGTTAAATTCAATGAAGAAATTGAAAATATTTAAAGTATAATAAGTGAAATATGAGAGAAAATAAAGTTTAATTACTAAATTTATAATTTATCCATTAAAAATGACATTTTTTTACACATGCGGTGAGTGTCTCTATAGTCTATACTCCTGTTAATGTAGTCTACACTCCTGTTAATATATATTTCTAAATTTAAGAATGAATCATTTTAAAAAAAATCATGTTTTTTTCTTAATTTTTCCTATCCTATTTAAAATTTGGATAAAGTACATAAATGGTATTTTAACTATATGATGTTATTTTATTAAATCATTCGACTATTAAAGGTTACAAAATGATGTTTCGATTATGAGAGTTTTGTTGAGTCCCTTAACTATTAAACTTTATAAAATAGTCACCTGAGTAGTCATTATGTTCTAAACTCGTCATTTCCCGCTAAAAAATTGACTTCAATCGGAGTTGTATGTTAACATGCTGACTCAAATATAATAAAATATAATCTCATAATCTTAAACGATTATCATATCTCAGCCAACATATTAACGTAACGTCCAACTTAGAGGACAAATTTTAACAAAAAAGAACGAGTTTAAAACATAATGAATAGTAGAGTGATCATTTTTAACTTTTAATAATAAAAAAATTTAACAAAATAACTCCCCATAATTGAGAGATCATTTGTATACTTTACCCTTAAATTTTATGTAAGGACGGAACTAAGAATGAATCCTAATAGAAACAAATTACTTAAAATCTAAGAATTATTAAAATTAAAAAATTACGAGAGGATCAAAGTTTAGTTTAATTAAAATTTACCAACATAAATTGATTCGAGTAGTAAGCAGCTTAATATTGTTTAAGAAAAATCTTGAGTTCGAGTCTTTATGTATGCAGAAAATCTCTGTTAGGAAACACATACACCAGAGTCAGGTGTGCAATACAGATCAGTTCGGATTAATCAAGACAAATTATTGAAACTGGGATAACAACAAAAATAATTAAATTATTTGGATCTGAAGCTGAATTAACCCACAAAAGTGATGAGACTAACGACCTAAAAATTTTGAGAGCGATTATAAAGTAATAATTTAAAAGAATTTTAAATATTTGATAATAAAAATTCATATATCCTTACAGAAATTATGTTAGAACTCGAAACTATAAAGAATAACAATCCTTTTAATTATATTAGAACTAATTATTTTTAGGTCCCTCGGATAAAAA